CACAGGCTGGTTAGGGACCTGAAAAGGGAAAAGGTTGACCACCCAGACAAGGAGATCTGGGCAGAGGTGTGCGGATGGGGACACGGGAGTGGGAATGGTGCATCACAGTCACTGCTGCCAGAGTATCACAGACACTGAGAACTAAGCATGCAGCACTGGTAGCCCCACAGGTCGCTGCCCTCACACTGCCAGCTGTGGCTCACAAACACTGTGGCCATGGTGGCAAAATGAATGTGAGGACTCTGAGGGACTGAGCTCTGTCCAGCTTTACTGCTGCCTCCAAATGCCCAGTCACCCACGGCAGAGGCCAGCACCAAGCCCTGGGAGGGATGCATGCTTGGGGGGGCCCATCACTCACGCTGGGCCTCTTGTGACAGGTACATTTTCTGGGTGTGAGTTTGTCTTTGCACTTCAGGGCCCCAGGAACACTGCCCTTGTATGGGTGTGGAGTGTCTGAGTGGCCAGCATGAGCCCTCAAAACATTGCATCAGACTAGGGGCCCACGTTCAGGAAAGGAGGCAGGGAGTGGGCCAGAGACCTTGGACTCACACACTGCAGCATTGAAACCTGTAGGTGGCCACTAGATCCAGCTGTGGGGCACCACCTGGCCAAGAGAGGGTGCCCTGCTTCCAGGCTGCAGACCACATGCAGCCGTGTCCTGCACAGGAAGGCACCATGGGCCTGAAGCCCAGGTGTGGAAGCAGGGAGGTCCCATTGCCGTCTCTCCAAAGGCTATGGAGACTTGTGCCTCTTACCCACATCTCTGGGCCCTACACATTGGGGGGAACCCACAGCTACTTCCTCAGTTTCCCGCAGGGAGGAGGCCTCAGAAATGCAGAAAGCTGCTTTCCAGTGTTGATCTCAGTGAGCAAGGAGTGGTCCGTGGAGAGCTGGAGGCCTCAGAGGGAGCAGGAGGCCCTGCTGCAGGAGCCTGTGTACCCAAACTCCACCACACCACACCCATTGGAGCCGAGCCAGACCCAAGACGGGGGAGAGGGGTGAGGCGTGAAGAGATGAGAGCAAACTAGTGGCTCTGAAGCTAGGGGGTGTTGGCTCCAAACCTGCAGAGCTTCCTTTTGGGTTAGTCAGATACCTCTGGAGATGCCTCCACTTTCCTGCCTAGAGAATGGGGTACTGCTTGGTGGGTAAGAGCCCCCCAAAGGGCTAGGTGCTATGACTCCCATCTGTAATCCCAATACTCTTAGAGGCAAAGGCAGGTAGACTGCCTGAGCTGAGTAATTTGAGACCACCTTGAGCAAGAATGAGACCCCATTTCAAAAATCAGCTGAGCATTGTGGTGGGTGCCTGTAGTCCTAGCTACTTGGGAGGCTGAGGCAAGAGGATCACTTGTGTACCGGAGTTTGAGGTTGCTGTGAGCTATGACACTACAGCACTCTACCCCAGGTGACAGAGTGAGACTCTGTCTCAAAAAAAAAAAAAAAAAATAAGAGCTCCCAAAAGGGAGAAATCATCTTGTTTTCTGTTTGCCTTGGGGGGTCTTCACAGGACTTGGGACACAGGCTTGTCCTCCTACTCTGTGCAACAGGTGTGTCCCCAGCATTCACAGCACCTCTTGTCTGCCAGGTCTGGTGGGGCATGGAGTCAAGGGAGGTCCAAGACAAGCCCCCACGGGTCAAATCCACCTCTGCTCTCTTCCTGTGTGCCCTGCCTGCTTCCATCAGCCCTGGGGACATAACCCAGGTGACAAAGCCTGCAGATGCCAGCAAGTGCCCCAAGAATGCCACATTGCCTGGTGTCTCAGGCTGCTGTGGGTGGCATGCAGCCTCACGTGGCCCTTAAGCTATTTCCTGGGCTACCTGTCATCTCCCAATGAAGTGCTCAGGCCCTTGGGGTGGGACACACTGTTTCCTCCTGGGCCCATCTACCTGGTCTGCAGTTCCCGCCCTCCAGGATGGGCAGTGGATGACGCTGTCATGGGGCTTAGGGCAACAGGAAGGAACACTGGCCCACAACTGAGGGAAAATAAGCTCTTTCTCAGGGCAACAAGATTATTTGGAAATAGTGATAAAATCAAGTGTTCTTTTCATTTGAGATTATTAAGAAACAGTGATGAAACTGGGTGTTCTTTTTATGTAATTGTGTGTGTGTGTATTTGGGTTTCCCTCCTTCTCCCTGTCCCCTCTGCAGTTTGGAACCCATCTCAGAGCTTGGCTGGGAGCCATCAGGTCCTCAGGTTGGGTTCTGTCCCTCTCCCAGCCCCAACCAGGCCCTGCAGGAGCAGCTTGCTGGGGAAGGGGCCCAGGGAGATGGCAACAGGAGAAAGCCAGGGACCAGGAGACTGGGGGATGCCACTCCCACCTCAGGGACAACCCACCCCACCCCCCACCGGTAAATCCCAGCAGAGGCCTGTGGGCCAGTGCCCTGTCCCTGGCTGCCTTTCCTGCCAGGTTCTCACCCCGGGGAACACACTGTCCTGGAGTCTCCACCTCTTTCCAGAGCCCAGGACCCCACTCCCAAGACTGAGCCAAGAACTCTGCAACTGCGTCATTATCCCTGCCGTGAGGATCATCTAGGATGAGAGGTCAGGAAGAGGGAAGGACTGGAGTCAGGGAAAGCTTGGTTTCAGTCCCCCAAGCCCTGGCCATGGACAAATTACTATTGTGTCCTCATCTGTAAATCAGGAGGGTGAATGAATGGTGTGGTGCATGCCTGGGAGGGCTAAGTGACCATGGGCAGGTAGGGTGAGGGCCCATAGATGGAGGTGGTGCTGATGACTGCCAAAGAGCCGGGCTCTGGGTACGCCCGGAACCAATACTAACCCTGGGCACTTCAGATGCAGCAGCTAGGCTGGCTCCGTCAAGGGGCACGTGGGAGATGGTGCCTCCCCTGGACTGTCTGCTGAAGGCCTGTCTACATCCCTCCCTGCTCCATGTGTTTTTGTGGGGGGGGCGCGGGGGGTGCTGGAAGGATGTGTTCAGAATGGGAAGTGCTTTTCTTCCCTCTAATATCTCTTTGGGAATCAGGCCTCTAAGGGAGCACACTGCCTGGCTGGAGCACAGGAGAATTTACAAGGTGGCATGTAATGAGGTGATAGGGTGAGCATAGGCAGCAGGTGCCTGGGAGGCCAGGCAGAGGGAAAGCAGAATGGATGGGAGCAAGGGAGTGTCCAGTGCTGGTGGTGATGAGAGCTGGTGCCCCCAGGACACCCCTTCTCCGTGCAGGAAATGTGTGTTGTGGAGCCTGCCCTTGTCACATCATCTCATGAGGCCCCCTTCATGGGGTCTCTTGGCAGGAGAGAGTTGGGTCCCTGGACAGAAGATATAGTTGGTCAGGGGATGTGCCCTCACCAGCCAGGACCAACACAGGGCCCAGTAGGGCCTGGCACAACGGCAAGGGCAGCATAAGGCCAGCAGCCTTCCCTGTGTGCACAGTACTGGACCCCAAGCTTCACTGACCCCTCATGACTTGCAGCACCGGAAGCCCCATATACCCACGATAGAGCTGAGGTTCAGAGAAGAAAGAACTTGTGCTGGGACATACAGCGGTGGGAGGAGACAGAGCCTGCCAGTTTGGGTATCTCTGTGGCTCCGGCACAAAGGTGAGATGCCCCAACCCTATCTCCCTGTTTTGGGGAGGGAGGAAAGAAGATGCTCTCCCGGTGGTGGCTGCTACGTGGCTACAAGGTCCCCATTCATATATGTCATTCACAGGACCTCCTTGTCACCAGGGCCCTGGCTGCCAACTTGGGGTGGCAGGTGCCAGCCCTCCATGGACCTCCCACCACCCATAGCAGCCCCTGCCCTTAAATGACACTAGTTCAGGGTGCCCAAAAGGAGCAGCTGCAAGTCCAGAGCTGGAATCCTGGGCCTGCTCTCTGCTCAGGGCCACGGCAAACAAGCGTAGTACCAAGTCAGCCCCACTGTCCACCCTGCCAGTGGCCAGCAGCCTGGGTGCAGACTGCAGCAAGGCTGGTCTGGCTCCTGTGGTTCTGGGGGGAGGGCCAGTGGGATGAGTTGCAAGCCTAACGATGGCTCCAGGGCACAGATGGTTCTCATTCTCCCCGGCCTCTTCCAGTGGTAAAGCAAAGTAGCCAGTGGGCGCAGCCCCTGGTCAGCCTGTGTTTGTGTTAATTTCCATTTCCCTTTGCTTGAAGCCACTATCCTGTGGGCTGCGTTTTGGGGAGGGTCTGGCCAGGGTGGCCTTGGCCTGTCCTTCACTTAGGGCAGCTCTCCTTGGGAAGGGCGGGTACAGGGAGAGCTCCTAAGGAATGTCACCCACTTCCTGTTTCTGTCCTATCCTGGGTGACAGTGGCCTTTCAGGGCTTTAGAGTCTCCTGACTAGACTAGCAGTGATTGGGATGGGAATTGGGGACAGGAGTGGGCCCCAGGGAGCAGGACAGAACCAGACAGAAGCCTACTGTGTGCCCATACAAGCTCCTAACTGGCTGGAGCAATGCCCTCCAGCCATCCAAAGCAAGGCTGAGTGACAGCACATCCCACGTCCAGGCCCAGGGACTCCCAGGAATCGGGGGAGGGGTAAGGGGGCAGAGTGCTAGGCAACTTGGGTGGGCATGGCCTGGCTACTCGGCCTGTATCCAGTCCACGTCTGCACAGAGCCGTCTGAGGAGAAGGCAGCTAGTTGCACCCTACTCCTCAGATGAGGTTGTGAGGGTGATGTGGTTACCCAAGGTCTCAGAGGTGTGGTGGTTAGGTGGAAGCTTGCCCGCGGTCCCACAGGTCCAGCATCAGTGCCCCAGATTTGGCTAAAGCAGGCAGCCAGACATCCCCTGGCCTGGCCTATACATCCTGCCAGAGGTCAAGAAGAGGGAGGCAGCACTGGGCTGGACAAGGGGGGAAGACGACCACCAAGGGGGAGGGCGCCTGCTGGCCCAAGGCCAGGGGGCCCAGCCGGCTCAAGGTGCAGGAGTGTGGAAGAGGGGGGCCCCCTCCCCTGCACTCCCTCCGGGGTGGGCTGAGAGCCCTCGCTGTGCCCCTCCCCCAGCGTGGGTTCCTCCGCCGGTCCGCGCCCCCTCCCCGAGCGGCGGCGGTGACAGCACGGCCACGGCAGCGGGAGGGGCGGCGGCGCCCCGCGCACATCACTTCCTCGGCGCCTCCCGCGGTGGAGGACGGGCGGGCAGACGGAGGGACGGACACAGTGCGGACGCAGGACCGGCGGCGGCGCGGGGGCGCTCCTGGCTCTTGCGCGTCCCCGACCTATGGCGGGCTCGGCCCCACCCGCGGCCGACGAGCTCCCGGGCCCGGCCACCAGGCGCCTCCACTCCAGGTAGGACTGGCGGGCGGCTGGAGCGCCGTGAAACAAAGGCAGCGGCGGCGGCGCGCGGCGTGGCGCGGATGGGCGACCCTCCGCCCATAGCTCCGCCAGCGAGTGGCTTCAGGGGCGCTGGGATGGGCGTCAGCCTGCAACCCCCGCGGGTGCCAAGGGGACAGGGGTGGCAGAGGCGCAGCTTGTCCGCGGGGCTCTCCTGGCAGCTGGTCGGATGCCTCTAGGAGTTTCCCTCCCAAGCCTGGCATGCCATGACCGGGTAGGCAGGGTCACCAGAGGGACCTGCTGTCGGAGATGGGTCCTGTCCCCCACCAACCATCCCAAGCTGGACCCAGTGGGACCAGGTGGGGTCAGAGCCAGTCAGCCAGAGAGGGGGTGTGTACCTGCCTGAAAAGGCACCTGCCCTAGGGACAGATTCACAGGTGAGTCCAGCAATCTGGGCTCTGTGCTCCACGCCCATTGTGATGGCAAGGAGGCCCAATTTCTACCAGCATGCCTGCCTGGTGACTCCCAGCATGGAAGATGTTCCCCCAGGTGGTGTCTGGGCCCAGCTCCGGCAGGCACATGGTCCTCCACTTCAGGGGGGACACTGCCAATTTGCCCAGGCCTCAAGCCAAACCTTGGGTGCCCGAGGTCCCGGGAGAGCAGGGCCTGCTTCCCAGAGTGGGACTTAAAGTCTCCCAACTCCAGGGATACCACTGTGCTGGTTCTTTCTGGCCGTCTATAAAACCTGGTGGCCTCCTCCGTGGTGGCCCAGGCTACTACTGACCCTTTGGGTGCCCTGGCCTGGCCCCCAAGGATTCTTCAGCCCCAGCCAGGCAGTATACCAGCAGGCAAACCTCTGCTGGGCACCCCCACCAAGCAAGATGAGGAGCTGGTTGTGGTGAAAGGAGACCTTGCCACCCCCGCCCACTCTGAGCTGCCAGTCAGACACAGCCCCCATTGTGTGGTCTAAGCTGTAACTGAGCCCCTGGCTGGTTGGGGGAGGGTGTGAGAGGTTTGCTGCACATGATGCTGGGCCTGCCCTTGGGGATTCCCTCCACAGCCCGTGGGAATATGCCCCAGGGTGTCTGTTTGTGGCTGAGCGGGTGCAGCTGTGGGTGAGAGGCCCAGGGCCTGAGCCCTGGAAGGCCCCTGCACAGCTAAGCAAAGGAGGCAGGGGTTCCAGAGGCTGGACCTGGGAGCCTCGGGTCCTATGGGGACTTGCCAGATGAGATTCTGGTCTGAAGGAACCGGCCCTGGGCAGAGACAGTGCTCAGAGGGGCCACTCAGAGAGGCCCCAGGCCCTCCCCACATCCTTCCAAGGGGAGACCCAGGTTAAGCTTGAAGGGTTGAGCTAGGCCTGTGAAGAGGCTCTGTGGGAAGTTTGGACCCAACTGTGGGTCTTCAGCGAGGTTTGGGCAGGCAGCTCCTGGTCACAGCTGCCTCAGGAGGTGGGCAGGAGGGGTGGGCATGGAGTGGACCAAGGGGAACTGTGGGACTGGACAGGAGGGACCTCCGTTGGTAGACATAGCAGACTCAGGCCACTGGAGCTGGGGAGAAAGTAGAAAAGTTTTCTTTTCCCTTCTGAAACCCTCCTGTGTATCCCTGCCAGCCTGGAAGTTGAGGGCTGTGAGCAGCCTGGCACGTGGATGTCCTAGTGGTGGACAGGATCTATGTAGTCTGAGAACTCCTCATGTGGCTGTTTGGGGGGCGCTCAGTGTGGTCGAGACACCTTGGCACTGGCCCAAGGTCCCCTCTGCCTTGCCCTCCCACTTCCCACAGCAACATTCCTGCCTGGTGAGGACACTTCAGTTTTTATGGAATGGGGGCTTGGCTGGGCACTGCATGTGGAGAGCACCACTGGGAAGGGCCGTGATTGTGCCTGTGAGCCCGCCAAGTCCCCAAGTCTCAGGAAGCAAAGCATCTGGGGGTTAATTTGCCTGCACCTGGGCCCCCTTGCCTAGAGCAGGGGCTGGGAGGGGATGGGCACTGGGCTGAGAAGGCCCCTGAAAACAGGGAGACCCTGGGGAGTCCTCTGCTGACTTCCCTTCAGGCTAGCAGCTAAGTTCCCTCAGGGCTGGGAAGGGGAGGGGGTGGCAGAGCAACAATCTTGGGGTGACCCTGTTAGAGATGTATCTCCAAGTAGCAGCCACCCTGACCCCTTACTCCGTCTTCCATTTCCAGGGCCCCTTCCTAGGCACCACTGTCCCTGCAGGACCTCTGGGAAATGATGTCCTGTGGGTGGCCCTTGTCCTCCACTATCCCAGCTCCCACCACGCTGACCTGGCCTCTCCCTCTCCCCTTCCCCTAGCCCCACCATTGAATGGTAGTCAGTGTGGTTTCCTTCTGGGGTGGCTACAGGGGGAGGGGTTGGGGAAGAAGGAGCCAGTAGTGAGCTGGGGTCTCTTGGCATCTGCCCAGAGTGTGGGTGACACAGCCCTAGAGACAGGGGTGGGGCTGGTTCAGTCCTAGGGATGGGGGCAAAGCTGGCTCAGTTATTGGGGAGTGGGCTCAAAAGACCCCATGCATTAGGAACTGGGTGCTGGCTTGAGAACCAGTCTTGGTGGTGGGTCCAGAAGACAGCATGAAGGGCTTTGGGGTTCAGTCTGTCGGTGGGGCCTGGACAAGGAAGAGGTGGTTCAATTCCTGCCCTCGCCTTTTAGTCAAGCTGCCCTGCAGTGGACAAGTGGCCAGCCTGAGTGGGAACCCCTGAGCCCACAGGGCCTCAGCAGAGGGGAGAGTGCCCAGGGCCTTGAGCCCCTCCCCGCTCTACTCAAACCCTGGCTGCCCCCGGCTTCCTTAGGTCTTGAGCTGCTTAGCCTGGGACCCCCCTCGTAGCCCATCACATATAGCTGGAAAGGGCAGGTGGCCTGCTGAGGGGGTTGTCTCTGAGCTGGCTTTGGTGCCCCCAACTCTGAATTTCCCTCTTAGACCAGGGAAGGTCCTGCTATCCAGGCTTCTCCTGGGCCACAAAGGCTGGAGGAACTAGGGACCGAGCCAGGTAGGTAGCCAGGGGCTCAGAAAGTTTGAAGAAAGGAGCTGGGCTGGGGAGAGGGTCTGTGCCTCCCAGGCCCCTGCTAACTGGGGCAGCAGCCTCACCCAGGCCCTGTGTGACCCTGACCCTGGTTAGGCCTGGGCCCTGAGCTCACCTTGGCTGGTTGGGGAGGGCAAACACAGGCCACCAAAGCCCAAGGGTGAGGGGGCAAAGCACAATAACAAGGATTCCATGTTCAGGTCGGTTGCCCCTGCCCCTTGCTGACACCTGGCGGGAGCCAGGGAGATTGTCCTGAGGGGCAGGGGAGGAGGCCCAGTGCTGCCCCTGCCCAGGTTGCAGATCCCAGCCCTGGGACTGCCCTCCTAGAGCCAGGCAGGGTGGGGCAGGCTGCTGCACCTGGAGAACCCAACTGCCCTGTGGCCTCTGCCTGCCTCCCCTGCCCTGCCTGTCTTCACTGGCCCATACTCCATGTGTTTTTTTTCCTTTTCCACACCAATGGTGACCTAGTACCTGATGTGTGCCCAGCTCCCCAGTGATCACAGGTTCCCTGCTTCCCTCCCACCCCCAGGAGCAGCCAGGATTCCCCGCCCCCTCCTGGCCTTGCTGATATCCGCTTATCTGGCCTGAGCTGATCCTTTGATCCATGGCGGTCCGGGAGGCCTCAGAGCACCTGCTGGAGGGCCTGGTGTCTCCTGTGGCACTGGCTGCTGAGCCTTCAGCCCACCACCCTGGGTGGAGGGAACAAAAGAACCCTGAGGCTGGCACACCTCCATACCCCCCTGCCCTGTGCCATAGCCTCCCGCCATGGAGGGCCAGCCCCTGGCCCTGAGCCTGGCAGAGAAGGCCGTGTGCAAGGTGGTGTACGGCGCCCCCCGGCCCCGCCCACTGCTGCTGCCCGTGGGCCTGGAGCTCTGGCTGTACGTGCAGAAGATGCGCAACCTGCAGAGGAAGAGGTGCGGGGCTGGGGGGGCAGGGCAGGGGCACCCACGGGGTGTCTGGCTTGGACACACACCCGTGCCTCTCCAAGGTGTCCCCCTACATTGCCAGGGCTTGAACCGGACCCCCTGCCAGAGGGTTGGTATAGCCATGCTGAACACTCCTGGTGCATGCTCTTCCCTGGACTTCTGGGCCCCAGGCCCTTCCCACACTAGAAGCTTCCTTTGCTGAGAGCTGAGGGACCAGAGGGAGGTGGGAGGCAGCTACCCAGTGTGTTCCCAGCTCAACCTGCACCAGGCTTCAGACCTGAGTCCTTTCCTCTGTACTCACCCGGAAGGAGGGGGCAGGGGTCGTGACAGGCCACTCGGCAAACAGCTGGGCAGGGACAAACAGGCCTTAATTAAAAAGCCATGTGTGTGGCACTGGCTACAGGAGTAGGGTTCTTGGCCGGTTGCCATGGTGACTGTGGGCTCCTGTGACTGATGCGGCATCCGGATGGCACTTCCCTGAGTGCTCAGCCGGGTACCTGCCAAGGAGCACAGCAGGTTGTAGGTGGGTGGCCCAAGTGTCTGGCCTCCTAGTCTCAGGGCTATGTCCTGACCCTCAGCTCTCTGAGAGGCCACCTGGGCTCTGCCAGTCTCTGGGGAAGGCAGGGAAGTGGTGGGACTGGAGGTTTGGAGCCTGCTCCCCAGGGTGGTAGCCCCATTGCTGGGTGAGAGTGTAGCTCTTCTTGGTATCTCCCTGCTACCCCGAGTTGTGGGCCTGGCCCTATTTCATTATATTGAGCTAGGCCCATGTAGGTGCTGTACCCTGGCTGGGTCCTGGAGAAGGGAGCCCCCTCCCTGGCTCCTGCTGGCAGGCAGGCTATGGGGGAACCCCCCCCGCCGCATGGCAGCAGGGGCTGCTCTGGGCGGGACATAGCGCAGGTGCTCAGTGAGCATCAGTGAGCTGGAGGGTGGGCCCAGGGCACCTGGGCAAGGCAGGGCCAGTCTGAAACAGGCCCTGGGGGGTCCCAGAAGCCTAGTTGGCTCAGGCAGGGCCCCTCCTTCCTCCTATCTGAGCACTCTAGCTAAGGGTTCAGAGCTGCTCTGAGGCTCCTCACCTCGAAAGTCTAGAAGGGTAGACTGGGCAGAAGCCCACTCCAGTGGGGTGTGGCACTCTAAGAGAAGGGGTGGCACTCCTCCTGGGGACTGGGCACTACAGTCTGGGGCACAGCAGGGGTCTTCCCAGCAGAAATCTCTGAGCCCGTGGGGTGCTAGTTTCCAGGCCAGAGGGGACTTGTCCACCTGCTCAGGTCTGTCCCTGTGGCACCATGACCTTGGGAAAGTTAGAAGTGACCTGTTTGCTTGACAAGGCAGGATTAAAGTGATCGGGCCTTGTGGTTTCTGTCAGAGGAGCATTTGGTTAAAGTAGCAGAGAAATACCACCCTGGACAGCACTTTCTTTTTTAAGGAAATCCGTTGCTTTTTCTCCCAGTCACTCTTGATCATTACACTATTCTAACATCAGAGAGGAGGGCCCAGTGCCTTGGGTGCCACCCAAGGGAGCTTTGGATGTGGTCATTTTTAATTACTTTGTAGCTTTTCACAAACACTGGTTGTATCAGAATGTAAAGGAAAGAGAACAGGAATGAGGGGGCTGGCCCTGGGCTGGCGGCTGAGTGTGCCCCATCCTTGACCTGTCCTCTCTGGGCTGCCGCTTCTGGGGGTCACCCCCACTGCCCTTGCTGAGTCCCCCTAGCCACTCTACACCCCCAGGGGCACCCTGGAGATGGGGCACTCTGCTCACCCCATGGCATCTGTGTGCTGTGCTCCCCACTAGCAGCTCTTCCACCCCTGTGAGAACAGGATGGAGGAGGAGACCCAGCATCCCAGGGCAAGGCATCCAGCCCTGACTATAGCAGCCTGGCCAGTGACCCTTCACCAATGGCTGAATCAGTGGGCAGCTCATCTGAGGTCCTGGGGGCAGCCAGGGTACAGGGACTTCAGGGGGCTGTGCAGAGTCCAGAGGTGAGGGGCTTCCCTGCCTCAAGGTGGGGGATAGGGGCTGCACAGCCTTCAGCAGGAGCACCAGGGTCCCCATGGGGTACCTAGGCCCTTAGGGGTGACCATGATTTTTCAGGGCAGGAATTGGAGTTCACCCTGGGACATGGCACTGTCCATGTCCCCCATAGCAGCTCTGGGGAGTGCAGTGTGGTGGGAGCAGCTGTGTCAGGCCAGTTCTGGCCAGCAGCCAGTGAGTCTGTCTCAGCTCTGTGGAGTGGGGACCCAGCGTGGACAGCTGGGAGGATGGGGCTCCTTCCCTAGGATGCAGGATGGGCCAGGGCTTAGACCAGGTCTCACCTATGTTGCCTTGACCAGCTCACCCTCCTTCCCAGAGCCTCAGTCATCCACCTCAGAAGGCCACAGCCACCCAGAGGCCCCCTCAGCCTTAAGGGCTGGGGTTCAGGGAGGTAGGGTATAGAGACTGCCCCTGTTCCCTGGAGCTTGACCAAAATCAAGCACTGGCTGCTGGGGCCTGCGGGCCTCACTGTGGTAGACTCAGGCCTTCCCCTGGCTGTGGTGCGGTCCAGGCAGGGAGGTCCAGGCAGAGGGAAGCTGCCCATGGTGCTGGCTGGGAAGCCTTTAGGACCTCCCAGGGTCCAGAACTTCTCAGGGCTATGTGTCCCCAGCCTGCATACCAAAGAGAGGCTTAGGTCTGTGAAGACAGGTGTGGCACAGGCCCTGGATTCCCTGAGCTGAGGGGCACCATCTGTAGTGATGCCTAGAGCATGGCCAGGCAAGGGTGGGCTGTGACCCACTGTCTGTCTGCCCAGGATGGAGGCATCATGTCTGGAGCTGGCGCTGGAGGGTGAGCGTCTCTGCAAGGCTGGTGACTTCAAGGCAGGTGTGGCCTTCTTCGAGGCCGCAGTGCAGGTGGGGACCGAGGATCTGAAGACGCTGAGTGCCATATACAGCCAGCTGGGCAACGCCTACTTCTACCTGAAGGAGTATGCCCGGGCACTACAGTTCCACAAACACGACCTGCTGCTGGCCCGGTGAGCGCAGCCTGCAGGTCCCAGGGCTTGTGCCTGGCCAGGTGGTGGGGAGGGCGGTTCCAACGTGAGGCTCTCAGGCCAGCTCTCAGGGCACCTCTGACCTGGAGAGGGGCTGGGAATCCTGTAGGGCTCCCCACCTATGACTGGGTCTATATGTGTGCGTGTGAGAGCAGCAGGAGGTAAGACCCAGCACTTCATGTATGTGAGTATACCTGCATATCTGTCTCTGTGTGGCCCAGACATCAGGCCACTCCCTGACCATGGGGACCCATGTGTACTCCTTGCACCTGCTCTGTGGTACATGGTCCTTCCCTGGGGGTCTCCCTGCTCTCCTTGGGAGCCCCAAGGCCCAGAGGCTCATGGCCCCCTCCCCATCCACCCTGGCCCTTTGGGATCCTGAGCACCTCCAGGACTGTGTCCAGTCTGAGCCAGGAGGACCATCCCTGCTCACTCCCTGCCCAATCCCTCTTCCCACTTCTCTCTTCACCCTCTTTCTCTCCCCTTCTCACTCTCCTCTCCCCACTGCTGTCCTGACCTCCCAGCGTCCAGAGCTTCTCCGGGCTAAGTGCCTATCAGCCCTGCTCATACCAGCCCTGCCCCACTGGGCAATGAGCCCCACATCGTGTCCTCAGTCCCCTGTCCAGTGTCTGGTGCCAGCAGCATGCAGCAAATATTCACTGAATGACTTATTAGAATCTTCACCTCCCACTGCCAGGCCCCCCAGTTGTCCCTCGAGTCCTCCCCAGCCCCTAATAGCTGCAGGCCTCAGCCCCTTCCTGCAGGCTCGAGCCGGGTCCTGGGGTACCATGTAGCTTATAGCCCCTCTGTAGGTTCTGTGGGGGTGACCCCCAGACCTGGACCAGCAGAGGAACTGGTCCTGAGCTGGACACCCTGCTCCAGAACTGCCCTCAGGACCTCACCTGCCCAGCATCAGCCCCCTGGGCTCAAAGGCCTGGCCAGCGTCGGCCTAGCCTCACTCCCTCCTTCCCTCCAGGACCATCGGTGACCGCATGGGGGAAGCCAAGGCCAGTGGGAATCTGGGCAACACACTCAAGGTCCTGGGCCGATTCGACGAGGCTGTGGTCTGCTGCCAGCGGCACCTGGACATCGCCCAGGAGCAGGGGGACAAGGTGAGGGGTTGGCCCTTGGCTGCTTGCCCCTCCTCCCCTGCTCTGCAGCTTGTGTCCAGATCCGGGTATAGGTGGGCAACATAGCATTCACCTATCCACCCCATGGGAGAGAAGATGAGGAGGTTGGTTCCCTAGACTCTGTGACTTGGAGAATCCTGAGCCCTCAAAACTGAGGGTACCCCCAGTTCATGTTGACGCTACAGGGCAGAGACCTGGCCCATCTTCCACATTCAGCTCTTTGCCTCCTCTAGCTGACCTCTCCCTGAATCTGTCAGCATCCCCAGTCACTCCACATGGCATCCAGAGGGAGGCAACGTGGCTGTGGGAGGAGGCCTGGACAGGACAGGTGTAAGCCCACGATAGTGACCACAGCAACAGAGCAGGCTCAGGTCCTGCCCTGGGATGGACACTCCACCTACCTTCTGGGCTGACCTCTACCATAACCCTGAAATAAACACGTTTACTCCCTAGTACCAGAAGGAAAACTGAGACTAGAATTGTCCTGAGTCACACAGCCAGAGGCAGCCTGGCTGGGCTGGAGGTCCCAGCATCTGGCCCTGGGCTGGGACTGTCACCCTTGGGCATCAGAGAAGGCCAGAGCTAAGGGCCTGACCATCTCAGCTACCCCAGTTGGCAGAGAAGGGACAGTAAAGCAGGCTCCCCCTGTGTCCCATCCTTAGGGCCTGACCCACCTTAGCGCCTGTGATTCAGTGAATGGCCAAGGTCCTTGCCATTGGGGCCAAGGACAGCAGGCCAGACCACTGACACATCCCCACACCTCGGTGGCACCTGTAGGTCGGGGAGGCCAGGGCTCTCTACAACATCGGCAACGTGTATCATGCCAAGGGCAAGCATCTGTCCTGGAGCGCTGCACAGGACCCCGGGCACCTGCCGCCTGACGTGCGAGAGACACTGGGCCGGGCCTCTGAGTTCTACGAGTGAGTGGGGCAGGCTGCGGGGCACCCCACGCCACACCTCCCACAACCCCCATGGTAGACAGTGAAGGCCAGTGACTGGAGGGCCAGTGACTGGATGGGGCAGAGCAAGCCTTGCACCCCGAGAGCAATGTTGCTGGCACTGAGGGAGTTCGTCCCATGTCTGTTCTTTCGGGGTGTGCCAGAGAGAACCATGTAAAACCCACCTGCATAGCATCTCCTGGCTGGGGTGAGTGGAGATGGGGGCTGGGAGGGAAACGGCTCAGATGGACTCGGCCTCCAGGAGGAACCTGTCTCTGGTGAAGGAGCTGGGCGACAGGGCGGCCCAGGGCAGGGCCTACGGAAACCTGGGCAACACCCACTACCTGCTGGGGAACTTCACAGAGGCCACAGCCTTCCACAAGGAGGTGAGCCGCAGTGGAGGGTGGTGGGCCTTGAAAGTGGGGTGGGTAACACATCCTGTGGAGCCCCAGCCTCCTCTGCACTTGATCCCTTGGCTCTCATCTGGTCCTCTGGATATACAGACATGGGCCAGCAATCTGGGCAGGGAGGCAGCACCTGCCCATGCTTGTTGGGACCCACCTGGGCCTTGGATCTGCCTCCGCAGCGCCTGGCCATTGCTAAGGAGTTTGGAGACAAGGCGGCCGAGAGGAGGGCCTACAGCAACCTGGGCAACGCCCACATCTTCCTGGGGCGCTTCGATGTGGCTGCTGAGTACTACAAGTAGGACCCCACCCCCAGCAAGAGGGAGGGCCTGGGGGGCTGGATGGGGAGGCAGGGGTCTGACAGCCTCACCAGGAGCTGAAGGGTAGGTAGACTGAGCTCCTAGAGGTCCCCGGCCTGTGCCAGGCTCTGGGTCATCTGCCTCCTGCCCTGAGTAGCAGAGTAGTAGCCTCTAGATGAGGCCTGGGTTGGCAGCTCTGGGTCCATTACTCAACCCCAGACAGCCCATCTTGGGGCCTGAGTGGTGAGCCTAACTGTCCCCTTTCCCCCAAGGAGGAGCAGTGGCTCAGGGTAGTCAAGAGACTTGCCAGAGCCTGGCAGGAGCCCATATCAGTCTGGGTCCAGTGGGGTCTGATACTTTGTCCCTCTGAGGCCCCAGAGAGATGCCACTGGGACCTGGGGTTGGAGACCAGAGGGCAAGCCTCTTTTCTGCTGCCCAGACTGCCCCAGGAGTGACCTTTGCTCTTTATGCAGGAAGACGCTGCAGCTGTCACGGCAACTCCGAGACCAGGCGGTGGAGGCACAGGCCTGCTACAGTCTGGGCAACACCTACACGCTGCTGCAGGACTACGAGCGTGCCGCTGAGTACCACCTGCGCCACTTGCTCATTGCCCAGGAGCTGGCCGACAGGTGTGGGCATGCACATGGGGTGGGCAGGCGGGGCCAGCCCAGCGGGCCCTCAACAGCTCCTGCTGGCCCACTGAGCTGAATTTCAGCAACCAGCCCAAGCCAGTCTGGGTCCCCTGCTCTTCCACCAAGCACAGAGTGACCTGGGTGGGACACCACGGGCCTCTGCCTCCCCACCCATCAGTGGTCAGTGGATGACACTGCTGTGGGTCTAAACTAGACAATGTGGATGCTGGTCCAGCCACTCATAGCACCCTGGCAGGAGCTGAGGGGGGCTTAGCCCTCCTCCCCTGCACTCAATCCACTGCCCTTCCCCTGTTCTCCCCAATGCATTCATGTAAATGGCAGCTTCTAGAGAGAGACAGGCAAGCCTCAGGCTCCTGAAACACCCCTGCATGCAGGTATGGGAGGGCCAGGGCCAAAACAAGGGAGATAGAGCCGCGAGCCAGTGGCTCTCACAACTGGTGGAAGGAGTGATCTTCTTTTTTTTTTT